ATTCACGAAGGAAGTAGTACAACGTTGCAAAACATCCGGAGCATGCTTACGAAATGAAGCACATTACACAATCGTGAGGCAATACCTGGAAATTTGATTTGAACAAACAAGTAAAGGCCCAGGAGACAATTTGACTTGTACAATTTCTTGATAAATGATTGATAATTAAGACATGTCTGGGAGGGATCTTGAAAGTAATTTGACAACACCGCAAACCGTCTTGCAGCTATGGTGTCGGTTATTACAAACCAATCGTGACTGATTGCATAATGAAGAAGTGGCTATGGCCCATCCGGCGTGGCTCCCTCAATTGTTTGATTGATGTCTGGAGAGGAGGAATTAAGAAATAGATGATCATACAATTTGGTACTTCTGTTTGGTTGGTCCCAAGTTTCTTGGGCAAGGGACAGAAGGAGCCACAGAACTTGTAATCTACAGTTAGTTGGAGGGATACAGTATGCAAGTATCCTTTCCTTATGAATACATTTCATATCATAACTGGAGATCTTATCAGTGTTGTGGTCCAAGGTTGAAAAGAAACCTCCATTTTTGAAAACCAAATCCTTCGACTCATTGACATTCATATTTAAAGTTGTAGATTTCTAACAGTTTTGTCCATTCCTAGTAGCTACATATACATGTTGGAACGTTTTATGTGACATGAACAGTTATACATTTTTTTGCTCATGGAAATATGCAAGTCATGTATATTTTGCCAGTATAGCTCTTATTTTTGTTGATATAAACTGCACATGATTTTATGATACGCTTTATATATACAAAATACAGCAATTTAACTTGGAAGGCATTCAGCCATCTTAAATAATTTGCTGATTCAAGATCATAAATGTTACAAAAAATGCAAATCATGGCTGCATGGTGATTACGCCAATATTCACCAGATGATTCGAAAAAAACATCCACAAGAATGTGGCTGCTGTTGCCCGGCAACCCACCACTGAATTTCAGACGAGGTGGAAGATAAGAAATAGAAATGGAGAGGAGAGGGGGGATAGAGAGACAGAGTCAAAGAGAGATGAGAAGTGAGAAGAGGACTTATGAGAGATAAAATACAGAAACCTTAGGCAAGAGAGAGACAGAGAGAGAGAGACGAAGAGAAACAAATACACTAGTGAAGGAGAAGAAGACAGAGATGTTGGAATAAGAAAGAAGTGTTAATGTTTAATTTGTTTATGATTATAGATGATGAGAGAGAAATATTAAGGGAGAGAGAGAGAGAGAGAGAGAGAGAAGGGGTGTGGGAGATGTAAGGCGTAAGGATATAAAAAAAGATATGGAAAAAGATGGAGGGGTTAGGAAGAGGAACAGACTATGAGGGGGAAAGGAATAGAAGAAGATTAAGAAAAGAAATAGAAAGAGAGAGAGAGAGTGGGAGAGACTTGGCAGAGAGGGAGAGGAAATGAGGAAAGGGAACTCAAAACATTGTAGAGATAGAAAGAGATTTAGAGGAAAGGAAAATAGGACAGGGAAGAAATATAAAAGACAAACCATAACCACAAAAAGAAAGAAAGAAGTAAAAAGAGAGACAGACAGAGACAGAGAGGTGGAGACAGAGGTAGGGAGAGTGAGAGAGAAAGTGGGAGTACAAGAAGTAGCAGAAGGAAGAGAATTGGGAGTCAAGCCCGACCCCTTGCTTCCAGATGTCGGTGTTAATGTGTTTTGATGGACTCTTTTGCAGCAAACAGAATGTTGTATACGATGATTCAACACCTCACCAGTGATCAGTGCCAGACATGTTTACAGGGAGGAAAGTAAAAGTCATGGCCATCGTAGCCTAGCAATCCAAACTAAAAAAGAAAGTAAGAAAGTAAAAGGATATATGGAAGGGAAAATTTGGCTCGTGCTTGTATTCTGATTTTTTTTTTTTTTTGCAGTTCATAAATGTGTCATCTATTTGGAGCCAAAAAGTCATTTAAAACTCATATACCAGTACCTTAACACAGAGTTAAGAACCTTCTGACTTTGAACAGATGTTATCTTCTGTTTGGAGCCAGAAAGTTATCAACTCATATTTACCTAACTCAGAGTTTATGCCCTTCAGATTTGGAATAGACAATTTGTGTTTGTATGTTCTCCTCTGAGAGATGCATGTTTCATTTGTCAAAGCTTACATTCACTTGTTTTCAATGCCATGTACATAATGTTTTCAATTATACTTGACTTCATTGTACCTGAGAAGAATGGTTAAAGATAAACTTGAGTTCTGGTTAAAAAAAGAAAATGTATTCTCACAGAATCAAACGATACTTACACTGAATGTTCAAGATCACAAATAAATGTCATTTGCCAAACAATGTTGGTAGAAAATGTATACTGGCTGAGTAATGAGCATAGAAAGACAAGGAAATCAAGGTAGTACTAGCCCTGACACCATGTGTGTTGTCCCATATATAGCTTTCTGTGTACAGTGCTTGCTACTTTACCAATGCTTGGTCAAATTTATTATGATTTTGATGACTCCAGAACCTTGCAGTGCACACCAATACTTACAAGCTACATGATCAACTGTTTCTGATCCTTTCCACACCTTTTCTTTCACAATGTAAACGCATTACCAGTACTAAAGTTTATCTTTAAGTAACAAGTGGAAAGGGAAGTTATAAAAGCACTTTTTCATAGAATGATTTGCAAATTTAGAGAACTGAAGGGAAAAAAAGGAGAAGAATCTTTAGAAAAATTGATGAGGGAGGGGAAGAAACAAAAGTAGAGACATGATAGAGATTCATAGGGCCAGAAGATGAAGAGAAAATGCTTACATGTAGGTACACCAAGATTTGGGATGTGGTTGCATCTAAACAGGAGTGGTTAGAAAATGTGATTTTTAAGGTATTGAAACTTTGAAATCATGCAGTTTATGTTCTGAATCCCCAAACAATTGTTCATGTAAAGAATGACAGATTTATTTTAAACTTTTGTTGGGATATATCTCTAAATCTTTAATTTTGTATTATTGAGGAAAAAAATAACTTTTAACAACTTTAAATCTGACAAGACCCATTACTGTTTTGGTATTGAAAGCCCTTATACCTGAAGTACTAGAACAGGCCATGTATTAATTTAGCTTTATTGTTGATTTCAAAATATACAAAATGTAATGATTAAAATATAAGAAATACATGTACATGCTTAATATGGGAAAAGACTGCAAATTCATTGATATTTGAGAAATATGTTATAGTGCCAAAAGAAGATAACTAATCAATCATTCTGAAGTCCTATTAAAATCAGAATGCAAGAACTTTTGAGTATAATTTTGATATGCAAAAACCAGTTGTGGTTTGCTGTAGATGTGCTAAAAAGAGAGAAACTTTCACGTATTCAGTTACAGTTACGTCAATTTATTGATTGACCTGGCAGTGTTTCAAGGGTCGTTGACCTCATTCTGTTAATCATCTTGAGCATGCAGCAGTGCATTGACTTGAAGATGTTTGGAAACAGAGGAAGTGTCTTTCTTGACTAGGGGAAGAGCAACAAACCTCCAGGTTATTAATTAGTTGGACAGCATTGGCTCCCCATCAAAACCACAAGAGTTTAACAGTATTGCCTAGTTTCCTTGCCTTGAAAAGTGCGACCATGTGGCTTGGGTGTTCCCCCCAGGAGAGAGAGGGAGAGCGCTTCCGATTATCTTCACAGCTAATATTGCCAGAGAGCGAATCTCTCTTAATTTGTTTGAGCAAATGTTGAGATTGGCATTGGATGCAGATCAAGCTTTAGCCCACCAGAGGTCACTGCTGGTCCCTCCCTCGCAAGCCAACGTGGCCCGATGTGTGCGTAACCGTGTGGTTTTAATAGTAATCCGTCAGTAGCAAGTTCTTGGTAGCAGCCCCTCAATAAAGCTCTCGATCGGTAGAGAGTTAGCGGAAGCTTCCTATCTAGGTCAGAAGCTTGGGTAATCGGGGATCGGCCATTAACGTTCATTATCTGCGCAATGACTTCTGATGGAGCATTCCAACAGTTGGACGACTCCTTAGAAAAGAGACAGAAAAGGATGATTGAGAGGGAAAAAGATCTTGCTGTTACAAACGAGATATAGAGAGTGAGAGAGAGAGAGAGTGAGAGTGAGAGTGAGAGAGAGTAATTTGTTAATGAAAGTTTCCCCTGTGATGAGAACCCCCTCGTGAGCTGAGTGACAGCTGATGCACGTCTTGGCCAGGATAGTTCCACCGACCAGTCTGGTCTGTAAAGCAAGACTTTCTTTGCCAAGTGTGTGACCTCTATTAAACTAGACATTACTTGGTAGCACTATTTTAGGCTACCGTATTGTCTTCTGGAGGATTAAGTGGCCATTGCCATGCATCTGTGTTACTAAATCCTTGCTGTACGCTTGGCTGCTATATTAAAATCTATTTCAAGTTCAAGTTCAATTTTATTGATCATGCATAATTACAAGGCATAAAATTCGTTTTCCTGCTGTTTCTTCAATTTATATAACATCAATTAACATCCATGTACTATCAATTTAATTGACTCTATTTTATGTGCCATGATGGTTTTCATTACTTTCAGAGATGTAGAATAAAATTAATTTTAGGCCACTCAATTTTTGTTTTAATTGTCTTTATATAGCTCTTTGTACCTTTAATTTAGGTTTATGTTATTGTTCGCTGTGACTTAAATTAAAAGGAGCTGATGAAGTCTATACAATACAATATTCACAATTAATACTAGTTTCAAGTTTCTGTAGCCAATGATTTTGTCTACAAAGTTTGTGTAGATTGACCCAATGGGATTTGTGTATGCAGGAAAAATATTTGATAACAAATACCATGAAAACCCCTTCTTATTTCTGAACAAGTCATTTCAAGAAACAAAGAATTAATTTTGCTCGGCCATATATAGAAGTGTTGATCATAGAGATGCAGAATACCATGGAAGTGATAATATTTCTGTGTCAGTTTGAAAAAAGTATCAATTACCAGTCTATGATTTCTCATGAAAGGATTTTTCTTTCTCCAAAATATTTTATTTCTTCTGCTTAGACTGCTTCAAACCTGACCTGCAAGCTTTTTTCTGTGGATGTACCAAGCCCTGTGAACCTTCCCACATCATCCACTTGATGCTGTTCTTGAAGGAGAACTTCAAGGGATGTGCGATGACTGCTCCAAACAGGCTAGGTGAGCATGCTGTCTCCAACACAGGTTGCATATTGTGAGGAGGTTGAGGAAGAAAACAATTGCTAGAGCCCTGACTTTTTGTCTGATTACATTCCTTATAATTTTGCTTACTCTTTATCAAGTCATGTGGCAGCTTACATCACAATAAAAGTATTCAGAAGATTTTTTTCCACATAAATCAAATATTACAACTTTATATATTTGTCATTTATGTCGCAGTACTTCATTTTTCACTATTTCATTACATAAATTCCGTCTTGACTGTTTACAGAATTCTTCTAATTTTTAACCTTCATTTTATTTATCCCATCCTGAACAATAGGTTTTTATTTATTAATTGACATACATTTTTATATATAGCAGTGAAGATTTAACTGTTTGTTAGAAGTTCGTCAAATCCTGTAGTCAGGAAAATAGCCAAACAATCCAAAATCAATGCTTAAGAAGCAGTAAAAGGTTTGTTGGGGATGACGGCGTGATATTGTGATGGCAACATATTGTTTATTTTTTTACATTTTTTTTTTCAACTCATCTCATTTTCTTTTTATGCAGCAAGCACATGTGCACAATTTGTTTTCACCCTCTTTTGGTTTCACTCTCTCTCTCTCTCTCCACTTTCCATGACTTCCGCCTCCTCCCTAGCTCTGTTGAATCGGGTGCGGCAGGAGTTTCCTCGCATCTGTGCCCAACAACTCTCCAGGATCCAGAAGATTATTCATGACACATTAGCCAAGCTTCTCGGTTCATCTCGACCAGCCAGGAAAGATGTGAGTTGATCAGAGATAATGGAAACGAGCAGATTACTCTGCATTGGGGTTAGGTTTTCCAGCTTTAAGGGTGATGACGGTAGAGCGGATATTTTTAATGCCCTGTAAAGCAATCCAGACAGGACCATCGTACCAAGAGTTAAGCTGCAATCTTAGTAATGGAGATAAAATTAGGGATCCTTATTTCTCTCTCAAGCGCGATGCAATTGATCCATATCCTGAACCTTATTAGGTGGCATTCACACATGAAGACAGAGCCGGATATTAATGTAGGCAGGGCAATTTGGTACGTGGAAAACTTGAGAGGATTTCAGCAATTTTATTTTATGACTGACAATTTTCATCCCTTTTTTTTTCTTTTTGGTCATCGTGGGATGAAGGATGATGGTCCCTCTGTATGCCAAGGTTATGTGAATCCCAAGATATTGGCAGGCAGTTGCTTCTCTTGGCTTCCTGTTTCCTGGCTGACAATCACAACTTCCGATTCATCATTGTAGACGAGTTCATGGTGGCAGCGGTGGGGATTAGGCACACATAATCAACTTATCCTACATTCACAACTGGTCCAAAGCGTTGCCCAAGCTATGCTGCTTTTTATGCCTCCGCCACCGAAGGTGGTGCCGGAGGCATCATGTTTTCGGGTTGTCCGTCCGTACGTCCGTCCGTCCGTCCGTCCGTACGTCCGTCCGTCCGTACGTCCGTCCGTACGTCCGTCCCGTTTGACCGTTATCACAATATCTCAAGAACCATTTAAGATTTAAACTTAAGACTCGGGAATAGTATTTATTACCATAGGAAGACGATCTGATTAGATTTTGGAGTACGTAGGTCAAAGGTCACAGGTCACAGAGGTCAACTTATGAAATTCCTTGTATTGAGTTTGTTAGCGCGATATCTCAAGAACCAATTGAGATTTAAACTTCAAACTTAAGGATAGTATGTATCACCATAGGAAGACGATCTGATTAGATTTTGGAGCACGTATGTCAAAGGTCAAGGGTCACAGAGGTCAACTTATGAAATTCCATACATTGAGATTGTTATCATGATATCTCAAGAACCACTGGAGATTTAAACTTGAAACTTAGTGATAGTGTGTATCACTATAGGAAAACAATCTGATTAGATTTTGGAGCACGTATGTCAAAGGTCAAGGGTCACAGAGGTCAACTTATGAAATTCCATACATTGAGATTGTTATCATGATATCTCAAGAACCACTGGAGATTTAAACTTCAAACTTAGTGATAGTGTGTATCACTATAGGAAAACAATCTGATTAGATTTTGGAGCACGTAGGTCAAAGGTCAAGGGTCACAGAGGTCAACTTATGAAATTCCATACATTGAGATTGTTATCATGATATCTCAAGAACCACTGGAGATTTAAACTTCAAACTTAGTGATAGTGTGTATCACTATAGGAAAACAATCTGATTAGATTTTGGAGCACGTAGGTCAAAGGTCAAGGGTCACAGAGGTCAACTTATGAAATTCCATACATTGAGATTGTTATCATGATATCTCAAGAACCACTGGAGATGTAAAAACTTCAAACTTAATGATAGTGTGTATCACCATAGGAAGACAATCTGATTAGATTTTGGAGCACGTAGGTCAAAGGTCAAAGGCCACAGCGCACATTATGAATGCAAAAACAGCTTGTGATCGCGTTATCTCAAGAACCGATTGATGGATTCATGCCAAAATTAGGTCATGTTTGTTACTTGCAGAGCTAATGAACTGAGTAGATTCTTGGTTCATAAGGTCAAAGGTCAAAGGTCATGGGCCCATTATGTATGCAAAAATAGCTTGTGAACGCATTCTCATTAGAACTGACAGATGGATTACTATTTAACTCAGAACATCTTGCAGAGCCAATGAACTGAGTAGATTTTATGGTCATGAGGTCAAAGATCAAAGGGTCATATATGTATATGAGAAATTGCTTGTAATCACAATATTCTGAGAACCTGTCAATGGATTACCATTGAACGTGAATTCAATTTTTTTTTTCTGTTTTGGTTTGTAAAATTGCTCTATAACGGAGGCATCATTTTCGACTGCGCGCAGTCGAATTCCATCTAGTTTTGGTATATATTGTTTGTAGGCTCTGATGTGGTAGAAAATGTTGCTGTTTTTTTGCTTTGTTTCAACTTATCCGACATTCACAACTGGTCTGCAGCGTTGCCGAAGGCTGCTTTTTTTGTTTTGCCAGGCTAAGTTCTGGTTTAAGATATTGTTTGTAGGCTCTGATGTGGTAGAAAATGTTGCTGTTGTGTTGCTTTGTTTCAACTTATCCTACATTCAGAGCTGGTCTGCAGCCCCCCCCCCCCCCCCTTTTTTTAAAAACCAGGCTAAGTTGTTAGGTGTGTTACTAGGCTTGGTTGCTGTGGGCCCCCTTTCTTCTTCTTTTTTTTTAAGAGAGAGAGAGAGAGAGAAAGATAGGGGCCAAGTAGTTTTGTAACCCTTGTGTGGTCTGAAACTTTGCTGTTTCAGCTGTGGTCTGATATTCTTCCATTAAGATCACAGAGGGCCTGAAAAACTGATACAGGACTCTGTTGCTGCGAGCCCGACGTGATGTTGCATTAGTCTCAGGTATGGCACAAATGTTGCTGACAAGTTGCTGAATCTCACCTTGCATCACATTATGATCGATGTGGCCTGGTGCATTGGTAGGAAGCTACTGCTTGTCACATTAGCCCACATTCTGATGTGGTTTCACACAGTTGTGGCATGAAATGTTACAATTATATAGCAGCTGCATATCTCTGGCTGAAACCTTTTGCTGCTGGGTCTCTGCGTGTCATTTCCGATGCGTCTTTTTTCTTCTTCTTTTTCTGCCTTGCTGTGGGTTAGACACTGTTCTCTATTTAGTCAGCCCTCTCTCATCTCTGAGATTCCTGTTAGCCGACCAGTATTCAATAAAGTCCTTCTATTATTTACATTTATAAAAGAACCAACAAAAAACAAAAAAATATATATAAATAGTATGTTCATACAAACAGGATGAATATAAACATTTACAAGGAAAAAAAAGATTAATTAGAAGCATGGATGAATATTAATTGCTCAGGTAGACCATTTAGAGGGATTCACACAAACACACCTAGGGGGCGAGAGGAAAGCATATAGGAGAGAGGAGAGAGAGAAAGAGAGACAGACAGAGAGAGAGAGAGAGTGAGAGAAAGAGAAAGAGAAAGATGATGAGAATGAAATCATTTCAATTTGGACTATCACAAGTCTTTGTTTATCAAATTCAAAACAGAGCCCCAATGTCATGATAAGTTCTCAAGTAAGTTATAAAAAAGCTGTAAATATCTAGAATATATAGAGGATGAATAATGAAATGATGAAAAATTTGAGCCAAACATTCCTTTCTGCTGCTAGAGAAGAATGATAAGAAAGTATGTAAATTAAACAGCTTTGTTTCCTTTATTTGTTTTAAGCTTTCAATTCTTTACAAATCAGATTTCAAATAAATGTCTTTGTTGCGGATATTTTCAATCCCTTGAAGATCATGCTGTGACAATATGTTGTTTTTACGGTCATATTACACATATTTATGAAGGTGAGGCTATGACAATTGACATGCAGTTTCAATAGTTGGACAAGCAGAAACAAGAAAGAAGAAACAAAAATCAGTAAATAATGTGGTTTCAAAAGAAATTGATAAATGTGTGCTGAATTCATTGAGGTAAAATAAAATACATTTTATCCAGGTTTGTGCACAATGCAGTCACTTGCATACAGTAGTCCCTTGAAAATGTTGCAAAACACCTTGAAATGAATGAAGATGCATTCAATTACACAGCAATGAAAGTCTTCAATTCAGGTTGACACTTGGACAGGAGAATTAAACATCCCTAGAAGAAGAATGCAGCGGAAGGGGGAATACCCGAGGGGAGGGAGGGGCAATGAAGCTAGCTTCCTCTCTATCTCTCTCACTGGACTACCCTGGTGTGGGTTGTGTCAAGAGGAACAAGACAATTGAAAGCCCCCGACCAATTAGTGGTTACAATGCCCCTCTTCCCTTTAGGGACCAATTACAATAGTAGGAAGTGATTATTGGTCTGAGGCATCTACTGTGATGGGAGATTCAAATTTTTTTTAAAACCTTGATTTACAGTATATTACTACAGTTAAACCAGTATAGAAAGAAAGAGTGCTCTTTCTTGGCAGGTGGTCTCAAATTTTCTTTAAAGACTGTCATTACTACTTGGCGAGAAGGGATTAGACCACACAGCGAGGTCACTGACAGGTGGCTATCTCATTAACTCAGCTCTCAACTAACTTAAGAAAAAAAGGATCATGGGGGACCAACAGGCACCGATTTGGGAAGTTTTCTATATAGAGGGAGCAACTAGCTACAAGTAGGACAGTGGGGCTTTAACAATGGGAAACGCTGGTTTAACAGAAATAAAAAGTTTGGTCTTTATACACAGGTCGTCTTTCCATAAAGGTGGTCACTAAAGCAGGATTAACTTGTTTTATGATTTCAAGATTGCTGATGGTAACAATTACTTGGCAACTCTGGCAAATAGTTGTATTATAGACTGGAATTGCCTTCAGCAAAAAGACTTCAAGAAAATTGTTTATCAATTTGTATACGTCACTTTTATGAAGTTGGTAATTTTCTTACAAAGGGAGATAGCCCGAGAGAAGAGAGGAAGTATGTTATTTTTCAATCATGAGGATGGAAATTGTAAGATATCCTCTGAAATGACTTTGAGGAATACGTTTCTGTCAATTTTGATAATGGTTGTTGATGGATACACAGATCTCCTCCTGGCTTGTGAAATATGAGTCCTTGTCATTATTCTGCACTTTTAAATATAGATTATTAATGTGGTAATCCAACGCTTGCTCTTGCAACAAGTGCTCTGGGCTTTGTTTCATCAAGGATGTAGAGTCAGGATTGCAATTGGGTTTGAAATAGGTTAATGTTCAGGGATAGGGTTAAAGCTAAAGACCAGTTATGGTCATGCGATTGCATTGTGAAAGAAACGTTGTGAAATCGATCAGAAAAGGTTGATCATCTAGCACTGCAAGATTCTGGAATCATCAAAATGATAAGAAATTTGGCCAAGTCTTCATAAAGTTAGAAGCACTGTACACAGAAAGATGTATATGGGACTACACACACATGCGACACGTGCATTTCATATCTCTCAACAGGCGAGAGATACACTAATTTACCAAATATATCAATTAGTAGGCGGTTTCCCGTCAAAATTGTTATCATGTAATATTCAAAACATATTCTTTCACATGATTGGTAATAAGAGCTTCCATTTCATTTTTTGAAATTGGGGCGTTTCCAATACTGGTCTTTACCTTTAAGTAGAGTGTTGGATCTAGGGTTGAAGTTAGGAATTTAGTTGGTGCTGCATATAGACCACAGCAGTTGCCGTAGGACTAAAAAGACTTTTAGGTGTAGAAGGCATCTATATTAGAGTAGCAGTCTTGCAGGTGAATTCTTCACTATCATGTTGCTCGTACATTCCGCTTGTGATCCAATACGAGTTGAGAATGTATAAGATTAACAAAGCTGTGTGGGTTAAAATATTACTTGAATACCTCAAGTTATAATAAAATTTCCTTTTTGTTACTCATTTTGCTTATATATGCAGGTATAGACATGATAATGCAGTCATACCAGTAGAAGTTATGGAATTAAAATCTGGCTGAGCCCTGTTTGTCTTTTGTGTTATAGTATGTAGCTATGTAATGTATATTTTAAAAATAAATGAATCAAATTGTTTATATAAACTTTGTCATTGTTACAGAGAGCAGCCATCATGAAATCTGCTGTGCCCTCAATCAAGTCATCTCTACATAAAATCATTAGCCACAGTACAAATGATGCATTTAGACGGAGGTGCTTGGATGCTGTGCAGGTACATGTACAATGATGATGATGATAATCATGATGCTAAATAAATGAATGATATAATTAATATGTATGTAATTTAATTTATATACCCGGTAATGCCTTTTCCAGAAAATACAAGGCACTGTCTCTAAGTCTAAGGAAAATTGAGAAAAATTATAGAGCTTCTGTCCTAACTCATACAAATGAATATAATCTTGATACATAGCCATTATACAAATTATTACTTTAGACTGTGTTGCATGGGTGCTATGCAAGACTAATGATTAAGGTGGACTTTTATATATATATATCACCAGATGAGTGTGTGATTATTTCTTGATTCTTTCTCATGTTATGTTCCATTCAGGCCTCCAACTGCCTTGAATTGACTGACAGACTCTCCAGACATCTCAATGCATTGTGTGAGAGACAGACCCCTGGTCACCAAGGGAATGATCATTCTCAGGTCAGTTCTACAACCTATAATTTCAGATATGCTTAACCTGTTGCATAAAACTTCCAATGGTGGTAACTTTATCATCAATGGCAACTACCATGGTAACGGGGCTCAACAGCCAATCAAAATCAAGGTTTCCATGGTAGTTACCATTTGGTCAATACTACAACCTACAATTCCAGACAATGACTTGGGTCCATAGTAGTTACCATCAATGGTAAGTTTTGTGCAACTATGCCCTGATTTTTGTTCTACCTTTTTTCTAGTGACATGTTTGCACAATTTTCTTTTTTAAATCCAGAATGCTTTTACGTACATTCAATGTATGAAAAGAAAGAGCAACAGTTTCATGAAATTTAAGTCCATCTTTATTACAGTACGTTGTGTAGTACATTTATAAGGACAATGTAACTGAAAATAAGGACGAATGTATCTAAATTTGCAATGCAGTACAATAGCTAAATGTTTACGCAACCAACCATCGATGTTAATTAATGATGTTTAGTCAAATCAAAGATATGACATCTCTTTGATAATCCATCATTTTTGTAATTACTTCCTTATGATTTCAAGGAAAGGAAGAGATACGGTAGATGACATCATATCATCTTCTTCCTGTTTCATAACCATTACGTCAAAAGAAAATGTTTATGCAACCACTGATGCTTATTGAGTAATTACGTGTACTGTGGTTTTTTATAGTTCATAGAATTAGTAAACGAGGACAGGTCATTTATCTAAATCTTGAAAAGGTACTTTCTAGAAAAAAGGAAGGAACTTCAATTGTCAAATTTACCGGAATCAAGTTCAGTCATTCCTGGCATGATCTTGAGAACCTTATGCCAAGGAATCTGCTTTTTAAAGCATTACTTGAATCATTACTTCCTTACTACTTCCTTATTACGTAAAAGAAATGAGGAAATATGGCATAAGGCAGATGACATCATATCGTATTCTTCCTTTTTCATAACCATTACGTCAAAAGCAAATGTTTATTGAGTAATTACATGTACTGTGGGTTTTAATAGTTGATAGTATTAGTAAATGGTGACAGATCATTCATCCAATATTATTTAAAAGGTACTTTCTGGAAACAAGGAAGGAACTTGAATTGTCCAGTTTACCGGAATCAAATTTAGTCATTCCTGGCATGATCTTCGGAACTTTATGGCAGAGAATCTGCTTTTTAAAGCAAACTTGAATCATCTGCCCTAATTAAAACTCGGTCAAATCAAAGACATGACAACGAATTGATAATCCGTTATTTTTGTAATCACTTCCTTATGACGTAAAAGAAATGAGGAAATATGGTGTAAGGCAGATGACATCATTTCATCTTCTTCCTGTTTCATAACCAATACGTCAAAAGCAATTACGTAATGATGAAGATGATTGCAGCAATGTATTTTTATGATTATGACAACTTTCCTGGAAATTGGCCCAACATGCAACTTTTTTTCTTCAAATATATGATTGAGGAACATGTTTATGATAAGTTTGTATTTGACATTGAAATTATGCTGATGCAGATATAGTGAAATCTGTGAGTCTTTTCAAAAGCGACTTTCATCGGAAGTTGGTTGCAATTCACCTGCATCATAATTTGAAAGACATGTACTCATTCGTGTGTGCATTTCTGGAAATATGAATTGAATAAAGATGGCATATTATACATTAAATATCAGCTGCTATCCTTTTTTCGATGAAAGGGATGAAACAATGGTATTTAGTGCCTTTTTTTCCTTCCAAACTAAGCATTTATCTAGAGCAACATCCAGTTTAAGCTGTAGATAAAATAATCATTGTTTGACCAGTCATTATAATCAATATTAGAATGTGTACCTTACCAAATAGTAGTAACTAAATGCTTTGGAAATATTTTGTTCTCCTTTTGTGCTCACCCCTGACCCCCACCCTCAAATTTTAGTTGACCTTTTTTTGTTGAAAATTTATGGAAAAACAAACAAAGCACACACACACGCACACACACACATAAAAAAAGATCTATTTCAGTTTGTGTATCCTGATACGTATTTCTTCCTTAAAAAGCTTGTATCTATATTCTAACTTCGACAGTATTGCACCTGTTGATTTTAATCCATTTTAGGACTACTACACTGAGGATGTCTTTCCTCTTCGCGTAATTTTTTATCACTTTAGGATACTCCCTTTATTATCGAGTTTGAATCACTCTCAGTACAGCATCAAATTTCACAATGTGTGTTTAGTTAATGTATACGTGCCTCTGCTGTATTAAGACTTTGGTTTAATGGTTAAATCTTGGCCCCTTTGAACCGTCCATCCCACAGAGTGCAGTCGACAGCCAGCGCCAATTTCCTTGTGAGGGTGATGATGAGGATGGGGGCAGGGTCCCATCGGATGACTCCAATCTTGCCTCCTCCTCCTCTGCCTTCTCCTCTTGGATGCCCCATCACCAAGAAACTGCTGCTCGAGATACGCTCTTGACAGAGGTAAGGATGCAATATAGCTTAAACCCCTTCTTTGCCTCAAAGCTTCATTCATGCATGGTGCAGAAAACTGCCTTGCAAAAACTGCTAGGGCATTTTTTTTTTAACACCTACGTTACAGAGTATCAGTTAAAGCTTTTGTTGCATGCATATATTTTAAAATCCCCACATGCTATTGATTTACACTTGAATTTCGATTAGCTGCAGTAGTTTTTAGGTGGTATACCGCATTGTTTTTGAATGAGGGATAGGTCATTGGTTCAAGACCTGGGAAATATTTTTTTAATTTTGTTTTGTACGACTGATTTTTGTTATGAGGGGGTGTGATGAATGGACCATACATGAAAACAAACCCAAATATTGTTTGCTAAGAGCCAGTGTAATAGTTAATACCTTTCTGGCTCCCGGCAAAAGAAACGTATGTTGAAGGGGGGGGGGGGGGGGTGGTTACCCAACAAGGAAATGCCAGATGGGATTATGGGGCCAAAGAGTTTCAGTGTACAAGACAATTATCATGAATTAACTTCCATATTATATGTCAAATGTAGCGGTTAATTCTTTCTTTCATTTTCAAGAGAAAACTTAGTAATTTGGAATGTAGTTTGCATGTACTTGTTTCTGTTTCGGAAGTGTGGAATCGCTTTTGTTCGTCCAAACGTATTCGGTGGGAATTCCCAGCCATTATCTTTGAAGTGTCAACCTCGATGAATAGTATTTGCAAGTCATCTATCAACTTCCCTATTAAAGTCCTATTTCCATTGGTCAGTTTTCTGTCATATTAATGGATGACCAGCTATACATACCCAATGTACAATAGCTATAAAGGTTTTTCATTGAGAAGTGAAGTAAATAAGCAGTGAAGTTTGATCATAAATTTTGAATCATAAAACTTGATTCAATCTCCAACTTTGATATCCTTGATATCCTTGACGCTCTTGTTTTGAGATGCATGAACAATGTTTTTTTGTTGTTAAGAGGTCTGATTCAAGATCAGTCACTGGATCGTATCACCATTGTTATGTTTGACATAGGAAGTAGCAAAGAATGATTTGATTATTTTGGTCACAACAACAGCTTCTTTTTGTGTTCAATCTGAGTTGACAATACCTCAGGAAATATTAAATCAAAGTGGGGAGCGGGAGCCAATTTTGGTGATAAATTCATAGTTTAGTTTGATATGATTTGAAATGTGTTGTATCAATATCTCTTGTGTTCACTCTGTGTTTCAAACTTTTCTGTCAAAGTTGATAATGTGTTAGTATGGTAAATGAAATAAATTTGTACATGTACAATATTTTGTTGTTTTAACATGCCAATTACCTTGTAGAATTGGAATTAATCATTTGTTTGCTTTGCTGGTAAATACACGTATTGTTTAATAACTTTTTTTCTAGTGTTCAATGATATTCGAGATTATGAATTTGACCTTTTAATGTATTTACATTTAAAAGACTCACCTTTTTTGCGGGGGGGGGGGGGGGGCCTGTTTAAAGATAGGATGAAGAAAAACAAATATCTAGGAAATCTGGAAAAAGACACAGAAAAGAAAAAAATACGTAAAAGAGCTCTCATAATGAAAAAAAAGCATCACATATTTTAAATCTTTATTGGAAATGTGCCTTTTACAACAGCAAGCTCTGAAAAGCTCTAGTGAACTAAAGCATTTCCTTTTTTTGCACTGGGCCTGTATTGCAACCTGCTTGTAATAACTCCCTTGAACCAAGTTCAATTTTTTCAAAGCCAAAATATTTGCCAGTCCCACGTAGGAAGGTGGATTTGCCAACTCACCTGGTGCCAGATTTACCTGTTTGTTAATTCAGTAATAAGCTGTTGTGCAGTTTATTGCCAAAGCCATGCCCCTCTAATTCCAGTCTGTCACTGGTTTCCATTCTTCACTCACTTCTCACATTAGGAAGCAAAGTAACTGTTGTTGTTTCCAGCTTCCTGTTTACAAGTTACTTGAGGGAAAAACATTGTTATAAATTGACAGGAATTTCAAATTTCAAATTTTCAACATTTGAAATGTATATTTTTGTAGAAATTATAAACTTTATCCAATGAAAGATATGGGATTTGCATATTTGTCATTAAAAAAAATTATGCATTTTTGGAAAATATCTTGCCTAGTAACAAGGACTCAAAGATACATTGATTTTTTTTTCTTTTTAATTGAGTCCATATTGTTGAATTTTAAATTTTGCAACATAAAAGGATGTTATTTTTCCTCAGTAAAATGCTTTTGATATTTGCCTAGAAAGATACATGGAAAACAGTGATTTTGCTGTTGCCTTTTAATGTAGCATAGCCAGTGTGAAGATTTTAAAGCTTACTTTCCAGTGAATACTCATTGAAATAGTCCATGATGTATACTTTAAAAAAAACAATGTACTTAAATGGTCCAACATTTGTGCTATCTCTTCTCCAGTGATGTTTAGTTGGTAATATTCTAGATAAAAAATGGAAAGAGGAAAAGAAACTCCTTAATTAGATTGGCTTTCACAGACCTTAGTAGTGCCTGTAGGCCCTCATACTTTTCCCACATTAAAATGGTAGATAATGAATAAATCCTTCAACAAAAGGTGAAAGAAACAAGAATAATATGGAACAAATGAACACTCATCAAAATGCTGTTTGGATACACCGCCTTCTGGAAAATTTATTAACACCCCATGACCATCCAAAGTGCTTGCATAACATGTCGTTCATCTTGTCACCCCACCCCTCCCCATTCTCCCTCCATCCTGCCCTTAGCTCTGTCTACCTTCCATGGAAGCCATAGCATTGCAGTCATAACAGACGAGCTTTATGAATGATTTCCTTGCACAACAAATTAAAACAGCGCTCTGTAATTAGCTTATTTTCTTGTTAGGCGGGATGTACTCACTTAACTCACCTAGGCGCTCCAAGCTCTTTTTTTGCTTAACCCTCCTAGCCCACATGCAACCTGTGCTTCTTACCCGTGCCAAAACTGTGCAGAGCAGCCAGGACTGCATGCCTGTAGCCATAGCAAACAGCCTGGTGTGAATCACCATCGCTATTACTCTGTCCAGTCAAACTACTGATGAGAAAGCCACTAGAAATCACAAATGCAGTTGATTCTGCGCATAATACATTCTACATATATGGAACAGACATGGTTAAAAGTAGTAAGCTGCTATAATATGCACCCCCAAATTCCTACCTTGTTTGTCTTGGGGATGAAGAATTGTTTTTAAAAAAATGGGTAGAAGTATTGTGGTCTAGTGGATAAGTCATCCGACTGTATGCCACAAGGTATGGGTTCAAATCCCAGCCTGGCCATTTGTAAAAAGCTAAAACCTTTGTTTCGTCAAGAGTAAGTTACCGGTAAGAAGAACAAAATTTATAAATGATTTAGATCAACTAATGCGTGCCTGAAACTTTTCTTATTGTAATACACATCATATATTCATACATTATTTATACAGTGCATATTTTTCTTTAAGTTGTGTTCGTGTCCATGTTAATTCATATGGGAGATAAACAGGATCTAATTACTGTCAATTACTTGTAAACCATGGATTTTATAATTAGAGTAAAGGTTTGCTGTACATGTAATTGTGATAAATAATGGAAGTGCTGACCATTACCACCAAGGGCCATATGATCACCACTTTGCTGGGCCCCAAACTATTCTATCATACGTGTCAATTCATTGGCATTACACTTTACATAGAAATAATATTGTCCTGAATCAAAGGAAAACATAAACTCCATGAAAATCATAAAAGTGAGAAGAGCCTGCTATTCTGCCTGATGTATGAATATGTAAAAAAAACAATATAATCTAGCTACTTTTTTAAAATCATAATTTGATATATGTACTTGTAATACTTTAATGGTAAATAAAGATGGGGAAAAGTACTGTATACTATTAAAACCTCTTTGATAAGAATTTGGTAAGAATTGTATTTTTTCAAACTGAGTTGTTAAACGATATTTATTAAAATTAATTGCAGTAGAATAATGTCACAGTTGACGTTCATTTCATCCTTGAAACTGAAAGGAAATGAAAAAGAGATTCGTCCTCCAGTTAATCTCTTTATATGGTTAATTAGGTTTGTGTTTTGTATTGGAAGAAGACGTACAAAATAATATAAGAGGAAATAAGATAAGAGGTATTTAAAAAAAGATTGTTTATTCTTTCGCACGAATGCTTGTCACATCTTCTAACCTTCTCAGGTACCTATCACGTAGATTATGGAGAAGCTCTCTTGACAAAGACCTTACGATTGTATATATCGCTTCTTTCCTGTTTTTGAACATTTAACTCCCCCCTCCATTCCCCACTGGTCTATGAATCTGTTGAAGAATCGTCTTAATTGCCCCTCTCACTGAGGGATGAGTGGGAGATTGTACCCGTAGTTGCTTTGATACGTCATACATCAATTGTGTGATGATATGTCATAAATCATTTTTTTTTTTTTTTTGGGGGGGGGGGGGGGGTAGTTTTGAGAGTCTATTGTTCATGTATAACAAATTCATAAATTTACAAGAAATCTGAATATTTGGAAATGTCCCTTTAGCTTACCCGGTTACCGGTATGCTGTAATGTGATTTTGTGTGCTTAGAGCCCCAAATTCACTATGGTAGCTCATACTTATACTATGATTTAATGCCCTTCTTATTTTTCATGATGAGATATGAATATACTGTAGCCTTAATTGCTTCTCAAACAATTCCATCATGAATGATAAGATTTAAACATTTAGATACCTCTGATTCCAGCTTCCATCTTTGTTTTCTGTTTCACATTGCAATTTTCTAGGAGAGTGAAGAGGATGCAGACTTTGATCTCCTGGATGAGACAAGACTTCAACATTGCGATTCCATGGAAGTGAACCAAGACGACATTCCTGCGCTCTGTTCAGTGCCCCGCCCTTCATCATGTCCTCAACGTAACCAGGACCAATCATCCCCCTTCGTGTCAACCCTACCAGTCAATCCATCCTCGACGCTACCCTCCTTGTCTGCATCAAGTCGGCTTCTTCCTTCATCATCTGCACAAGCGAAAAAACAAGCTAGACCTTCAGCATCAAACCAGTCGACTTCATGCTCATCTTCATCGCTACCACCAGGTTCTTCATCCCATGTTCAGCCATGTGAGGGTATCCCTTACCATGGTAACATGACTGCAGATGGGATGGATGCTTCATCAGGGAGACCTGATGCAGGGCCAGCCCATGGTGATGAGCAGAAGAGGAACAAGGTCCAAGACAATGATGTGCAGATGATGCAAGAGGTTAGTAGAAGAAAGAATGGGTTGGTTTACAATAGAGTGATCCTGATTGTCAGGGGTTCAAACGATTGTTTAAAAAAAATCTTTTTATCTTCCTTCAGCCATCCATATTTAAACCGAAAATGACTGAATACTTGCATAAAGGTCTGTATGTAAAGGAAACTTGTAGAATAATCATGTTTGGAATAATCAAAACAACTTCTTATCCCTCCAGATTCACCCATGTTATGCAGACCAATGCAAGCCTCTCCAGCTTTATAAAACTTTTATGATTTTACCTTCTTTCTGATTATTTTTATTTTTTAATATTTTTTTATATTTTTTACAGTAGGTAGGCAACCATACCAATATAAGTGTTATCCATATTCGTCAAATTGTGAATGAAATTTTCAACAACAAAAAAACATACCAAAAAAAAGGAGATTGTCCCACCTAGTAAATGCTTTTGAAACTATTGTTCTTAAATCCTGTTTTGTAACTTCCATCAGAGTAAAAAAACAAAAATTGTGATTAGCACAAGTTATAAAAGCAAATGATCTTTGTTTGAATGCGACTCATTTATCCCTCGGCCACCATCAAATATCAAAAGAGAGACCACAAACTAAGCTTCTAACATCAACCCAGTCTTGAACCCAGGACCTTCTGGTCACTATACCACTGATCTTTAAAGTCTTTGACACCGTATCACATAGTCTTGAGGATTGCATGTGGAAGATCTTTGTTCCAATTTTAAGAGTAGTGACTCATCTATTCCTGTGCCACCATCAAATGTCAAAAGGGAGACCACATACTAAGACTCTAGCTCAAGACTTTATTATCTCTAAGGGGAAGGCTGCCAACAAGGAAATAAACCAAATTGCTTTTTATTTAAAAAGAGGAGAAAGGTTGGAAACTTCTTCTACATTGACCTTATCAAAAATGTTTATTTCTTGGGAATCTTTTCCGATGGATCATTAAGTTTTTGAAACCTGTAAGGCAGTCAGAATAAGGTTTGGCATAGTGTTGGTTCCAAAGTTAAAGTTCAGAATGTATCAATCCAATATAGTTTTTAATTTGACATCGCTTTTCTGTTAGAACCTCTGTGATTCTTTTTTTTTCTTCTCACAATAGAAAGTTCATTCCAATAGAGTAATTATGACAGAGGATGGGGATGTTTTGAAAATCTTTAAAATCAATCTTAAATGTTCTCGTTGATTTTAGCACATTTAAATCAAGTAGATTGTTCTCAATTGATAAAATACCCCTTGGGACATGAGTCGTACCTGTAATAAAGCAACAGCATTGTCCTCTCACACTGTCTGTACACTCACTGTATGTAAGACCATTTGTCTCTTGTTTGATTGACAGAGCCTGTCTGGCGAGCTGGGTAACGACTGGTTTGAGACGCTGATGGATCATGATGACTGGATGAGTAATGAGATCTGATGGGACGGATAGCAGACACCTTGACAGACCCACGGTGTGTGTCAATCAACTTCCACAGACATCTTTTAGTCATTGCCGAATCTTCTGTGTATGGCAATCGGCTGCTGCTGAAGACATATTTTTTAGTCATTCCATCTCCGCTGGGTCTCGGCACCTGCACAATAGACAGATTCGGACTAGCCGTAGAGAAAATGGGAAAAGGTATTCCACTCCACCCCCCCCCCCCCCCCCCTTGACGGCTCTCTTCACTGTGTACAGTTAGCACTTTCCAAATAAATCTTGAAGTCATTCACTTGTTAGATCTGTTTTCGTTAGACTCGGACAAGAAGGATGGCTAAAAGGCCAGTGGGATAGTAACCTGAAAACCATCATGCTGTATCTCTGTACAGCATTGAGCTTCCAAAGACATCTGGTAAGTTATGCCTAGTTTTGCTAGGTCTTAGCACAGAAGACTCGAGACATGGAGGTACAGGATAGATAATAGGCTAGATGACCAGGGCCCTGTTTCACAAAACTTGATATCGATAACAAGTTACAAGCTACTGTGACAAGCTTCTGATTCATGGCATCTGATTGGCTGAGAGCTAATTTGTCATAGAAATTTAGCATTTTGTTAAAGATGAAAAGTTTTATGAAACAGGACCCAGTATCCTGGAAACCCTCTTTTAATCATTCACTCGATGGGTCACCGTTCAGGAGTCAGCTTCTTCTGGAGACATCTTTTAGTCATCCCCTTGCTGCTGGGTCTATGTCCAACAGACCCGTCCAAGAGGGATGGCTCAAAGGCCAAATACACAGTATCCTGGACACCATCTTTCTGGATCTCTGTACATCAAGCAGTCTGCATCTGAAGCCATTTTCAGTCATTCCCTCGCGGGGTTCTGTACAAGAGACCCAAGACATGGAGAAATGGATGAGCAAACAAAAATGCCAGTGGAGCAGAAGTCTGAAAATCATCTTTCAGTCATTCCCTTGTTGGGTCTCTGTACAGCAATCAGCTTCCAAAGACATCTTTCAATCATACACTCCTCGTTGGGTCTCTGCTCAACAGATTCGAACAAGGAGGGATGGATGAAAGGGTAGTAGTCTGGAAAGTATTCTTAATATCCCAGTCACATCAATGAGACAAAATTACATTACGCCCAAATGCAAAGATTCTGTCAGTTATCTGTAGGTATGAATTCAGTTTTGGGGGTCGATAATTATTATCTTTTTCTCAGGTATACAAAATTGAATTAAATTGTAGTGAGAAATCTTTTTGATTGAAACTGTGTTGTTCATTTACTGTTGTTGGTTAATGTTTGTGCCATGATAGTTTTGCAGTCCACCAAATTTTGATCTTCCTAGAATGCAAATAAAAAATATTTCGTATCCAATATTGGAAATTGATTGTGTGATTGTGTCTGGGTGTTTTTCCTTTGTCTAGTTGTTGTACAGTATCTTTGAAACGTATATTTTAATATGAAATCATAATATATTTAGAAATAAAATGTGTATGTCATTTGAATATTGGACACTTCCTATTTATTTGTTATACGAATAAACATGTGGATGACTCACAATGATAAATCTATTTTCTGTCTCATACGAAATGCATACTGTTGTGTTTATGATTGTGATGATAAAGGTCTATTGTCCATGTGTATGATATCGTGTGGGGTGGTGGTGGTGGTGACTCAGATTTACACATTATATGTCAATCATTTGTTTCCAGAAGCATTCAATGTCACCAGCTTAACCGGGACCTGTTGGTGCGAATATGTTCCAGATGTCATGCGCATGTCTGCATCTAATTAGAAACAGATACGTGGATCCATATTTAAAGAGTTTACAAATCTGTCTGCACAGATGTATTGTCATGACGAATTGGGTACTATCGAAATGAAAAACAGGTTTTGATTATTGTTCACTTGTTTGATGTTTAAAGGTACTATGTCCCATTTGCAGGCCAAAAAAATGAAAAGGTTAAATTCCAATGGCATTTGAAAGATGATACTAATTTAGAACTCCCCTTAAAAAAATGGGGCTTGAAAATGTCTTTAAGTGGGAAAATAACGACTATTAGTTGTCAATTCGACTTAGGAGCTATAGAGCCAATAAGTAATAGTCTTGATTTTCAGACCATTGTACCGCATGGTTGTACGTTTTATGCTGCGCAAAGATGCAATCAGTTTAATTTTGGCCATTACAAGAAGTGGGTTATTGATGTAGACAAATCCTTTACAGCTCATTTTATGTATGTTATTACCAAAGAAGAAGAAAAAGCCAGTCAGTCACTCAATACTGACAAAAGTGTCTGACAGTGAAGTCTAGCAAGTAAACTGGTTTCCTTGCATAATTTGAATATTATGACACTGCTAACGTTTAAATTTCACAGATAGGACATACATGACATATTCATAATTCCTGCAGAGTTCTACAGAATTTGAGGTTGGCTGCAAAAGGGACATAGTATCTTAAGAGACAGAAATTGGCATTTCCACTACCAGTTAGGCAGTTACTTATCTCCTCATCTTCTACTTGAGAGGATACAAAGTTGAACAGGGATTATAAACTGCCAATTTATGGGAACATTGTTTTATTTGTGACTGAAATATGTAATGTGTATTCTTTTGTACAGAATAAAGTTTACCAGAGTATGGCACTGTTTTCATCAAAATATGAATGGTAAAAACGTTGTTTGTAATGTATAGCAATGCTGATTGTTCAGAGTATAACATTGGTATGCATCAACACAAATGTGGAATGGAAAAGTGGAACTGAGCTTTTTGTAACGTACATGTATGGCTCTTGAGAATTTGTGTATGTGTCTGTAGTATGGTGTATGAAAAGTTACTAGCATGATATGTGAATTGTGGAGTGAAGTACAATAATCCGAAATGTAAACAGATAGTGAATGATCGCATTTTGTTAACCTTCCTTATTATATAAATGAGTTCTACTTCTTCAATTTGAGGACTCAGATGTCATGTTTTATTGTTAAATCATTTTACGTGAAGTTATCTTTTTGTGATTGGATATATTTGAATGGAAATTAATCAATTTCATCTAATATTTACATAAGAAAGCAAGCTTTCACATGTAAATAAGAACCTCTCAGACCAATGGATGTACATGTAAGTCCTATCTGAGGGTGTTGGTAACTTTGGATTAATACATTACCAAAAGACACATACACTAGCGCATCACCTTTTCTTTTTGATCAGTTTCTCCCTTGTTTTACCCCTGAGCCATGCCGTAATGCCTCCTTTATTGTAAAGATTGCCTATTTCATGGGTAAAAAGTGTTTTGAATTTGTTGATACATCGCTAATTTTACAATTTGTTGCTACATTGCTAGATCAGTTCCTCCGAGATTGTAGTGTCTGGTGTTATCGTGCAACAAAGCTGGGCACAAGTTGCTCAGAAATGCTGCTCAAGAATATTCCTTTCTTTTTGTTTTAAGATTTGGAATCAAAAGTTAATGTGCCAAACCCAGAAATATTAGACTTTGTCCCTGATGCAATACCTTGGTTAAATCTAGTGTGTATGCTTCATATGTCTTCCTTCCTTTGTTTGCTTTTAGTTCCATGGCATATTAAGTTCTATTTCTGCCAGCTAGCTCCAGACCTCAAGGGTTAGTCAACTGTCTCCATCCTAGCCGTAACTAATGTCTTCAACTGTTATGATGTTCAGTTATTTACATTGCCCTACTTCCTTATTTCCTTCCTATCTTCTGGTACTTATTTATGTAACTTGAATATTTGGAGTTCATGGGATTTTCGCCTCTTTTTTTTTTTTTGTCACTTACATCATTTTTTGTGGTTGAAATTTTGGTTTCATCTTGACATTTTTATCACATGTTTCATTCTCTTTCCTTTTATAACTCTTGTGTTATATTTGTATGCTTTATTGATTGTTTGGACATCCTTATCACTTACCTGCTTCTGCTGTTACCTTTTCTTTCTGTTTCTTTTTATAAATTTGTTTTCTTTCAGTTTCCCTGTCTCCATCCTTTTCGCCTCTTCTTCACCATTTGCTGTTGACTCTGTTTCTTGTTTCTCTTAAATATTAATATCACTTTTCAATATTATCCATCCCATTTGTGACTCTCTACATTTATCTCTTCCCCCCCCCCCCCCCCCCCCTCTCTCTCTCTCTCTCTCTCTCTCTGTCTCTCTCTTTAAATATCTTGTTCTGTATTCCTCTCTTCGTTCCTCACTTGGTCCTTCTCATTCTCTTTCTCCCCTCTTTCTCCTCCCCTCTCTCTCTCTCTCTCTCTCACTCATTCTCTCTCTCACCTTGTCTCAGCTGGTCTAATCTTCCTGTCGGTCTGCCTTCTACATTCGCTTCCTCCTCGTTTCCGCTCCCCCCCCCCCCCCCCCCCCCCCCCCCCCCATCTCTCCAAATGTGGGATAGATCCATCACCGGCTTGCTTTGTATGTCTTCCCTCATTACTTTGCCATCACACCCGTCTCAGAACCTCTCCATACACATGGCTTCTACTCTATACGCCGAGTTCTGTCCCTAAGACCTCTTTCACACATGAAATATAAGATTGTTCTTAGTTGGGTCAATCTTAAGTCAGTGTAGACTCATTTCCTATTTGCTGGATTACCTCTTTGAGATAGTCCAGTGGTATTAGCTAGGATGAAAAGTAAACTTTAATTAATAACTTGAGCAACATTTAAAGATTATTTAGAGACTACAACCCATCAACAGATTACTGGGTCTAACAATTTCATTTACAAGTAAATTTCAAGAGGTTAGGAGGTATATATGTACCGGTCAATCACCCCTCGGCCAGTATGATTGTTATTTTTATGTTTTGCTAGTTATGGTACATTTCCTAGAGTGTGCTGACTCGTTGTATCAAATGAAACCAAAACTTTTTAAAACATATACTCAAGTGTTCTTCTGGATCACTCATTAATAAATAAGAGGACTACTCCTATAATTATGGTGCTCTGAATGAGGAGTGAACTAAAACCAGGGAGTATCCAAACTCACTGCTATTTATTGAAAACCAACCATTTGTCTGAACATGTCAATGACCGTTTGCCTTTCATCTCGGGGTCAGGTAAATAGACCACAGTCCAGTCGGTAGCTCCGTCACTACCAATCCCTCCATCGGCCCTAGCTGTCTGACACCCAAAAAAGAAAATGATTGATGCCATGGACCTTGCCGGGCATGTTAGGAAATTATTTCAACGTGAAGACTAAATTACGAGTTGACCTTTTCGAGCAGACTTCCTCCCGGTGTCAATTATTCATTGTTCAAAGTCATGTTGATAGAGGATGCAAAGTTTTTTTGAATGGCTGCTGTTTGCTGTTTTTTAAACAGCAGCCAAAGAAATGTTATTGATTACTCTATTTTTGTGTGTTATTTGTTTGCCAAGGTTGGATATTTCGTCGCTGTTTTCACGAAGTGACGGTAGTGGAAAAAAATTGCATTCACTTTGCGTTACGATTTTCCTCACTACCGTCAGTTTGTGAAAATAGGGACGATTTGTATACACTTGTACAGCTTCATGTCTGTCAGTTTTTGTCAAACTGAGATTAGTTTTGGTTGAAGGTTAAAGAAAGCTTCCACATTCAAAATATGGCATGTTGGTAGATTTTAAATTTATATTGCTTTACTAAGAATATGGAAAGAAAAAATGCTTGTAATGTATCTGTAACCATGTAACAAATATATGCTTTATTTTTGTTTAAATCAGTTTTCTTACAGTTCGTGCCCAGCAGTGGGTGGAGCAAGCATACACCCCACCCTGCCCAGGAAAGATCCCCTCCCCCCCTTTTATCAATATGTGGATATGCCACTGATCCAATGTCAAAAGTCATATTAAGAAAGAAATAAAGTGTACTCTGTCATTTTTATGCAAATGCAAATATATATATATATATATATATATATATATATATATATATATACATAAATACAAAGAGAGAGAGAGAGAGAGAGAGAAGGCTTTACAAGTTGTGATGTCAATTCCTAAGTTTTTTGTTTTTGCTTGAAATCCTCTTTGCTAGCATATGACCCAAGGAATACAATGAAAAACAATAATAGTCAATTGTGATTATTCTCTCCACTAAGAGATTTTAAAAAAACTTTTAAAAAACAGTTTACAACAAAAAAATATCATGTATTTATCAACCAATGTCAAAAGAATCTGAGAAAACGATGTTGGACAACTATGCATAGGCCGCAGTACATGCCTTTCAACTTGGCATATGGCTTGCATCTAGTTAATTCCATGATGAACTCTTGAAAAAAGAGGGCCAATGGGATGTCATTAATCATGGCCTAAGATAGTATAAGGTCCATTTGCACAAGTTTAATGCCCTCCCTTAATATTTAGAGTAATTAGATGTGGCTCTTTGATGTATATGTATGTGGGAAGGGGAGCTAACTAAATTGTTACAGTATGACGTAGGGGGAAACCAATTCCTTTATATATATATATATATATACCGGGTATATAGTTTTTAATTCGACATCGCTTTTCTGTTAGATCCTCTGTGATTCTTCTTTTTTCTAACAAGCTTAATTAACAACCAAAATACTTAAAGGTGTGCTATAACCCATGTTTGT